TCTTGATTCGGGACCAGACCAAATATTTACTTATATTTCTTTTTATTATAAATTTAATTTGCATGTTATATCAAATAGTAAATAAAATTTATTATTAAGTGTGGTTGTAAAAAAGTTTTCCTATTTAAAAACAAAATATTAAAACACATTTGAATCAATTGTTTATTAATAAAATCGAACCAAATTAAATATCAATTTTAAAAAAACTTGTTGATCATTTTCCTCATCTCAACAACTTCTTTTGTTTCCTCTTTAGGTTTTTTCTGAATCTCTTTGTTTATTTTCACAAGTTCCTCGCTTCCTTCAGTGTTCACTAAAACAAGTTTGATTTCTTCAAGATAGTTTATGGATATATTGATTTTGATTTTCTGCCCAATTGTCATTCTGCTCTGCACTCGATAAACACCGAGAGGTGTACGTTCTTCGTACAACATAATATCAACGGTCTCAGTCATAACAGTGAGCTCAATGAACACATCTTCGACTGGAATTGGTCTTCCTTTTGCGACAACAATTTTGTAATCGACTTTGTTGTCTTTGATTGTCAACATGGTGATGTCTTTTTGGACAAATTCGGTTTCATGTATATCAATCATACTACAACCTCGAATATGTCCGAAATTGCACCCTCCAAAAACAGCAATAACAGATGGATAAACATCATCAAAATAGTTTGCTTCTGGAAATAATGAAATCAGATATTTTTTCAACAATCCAAATTCACACATTTGCCCAATCAACACAACATTTTGAATACTTCGGTGACTTATTTGCATTTCTTTCAAAAATGCAAAAATTTTATTTTTGAAAATGTCGTTAAAAATTTGGAGAACTGTTTCTTCTTTCAATACAAATTCTAAATCACCATCATATTGTTCAAATTTGATTTCAACCACTTTTTGTTTTGAAAATAAATCAGTTGAACGTTTTATTTCATTTTTTAATATATAAATATTCCTTCTTTTAATCGTATTTACACGTTCATCATCATTTTCAGTCATTATAAACAACTCTTTCACTTCTTCGTATCTTTCTTTCAATTCCTTTATAACTATTTCAAAAAGTCTTTCATTCAAGAAATCTTCAGTGATATCTTCATAATTTCGAAAGTGTACCATTTGTAAATTTTTACCATCTTTCTTGCCAACAGACAACTCCAAATTCGTATCTAAATCAATAAAAAGAAAATTACCCTCTGCACGAAACATATTATTTTCAGTCCACACCGATGCTTTCGGATGACTTAACACAGAAAGAACATCAAACCCGGCGCAATGTGCAGCATATTCGAGATTTTCTCTGTTTTCTTCAAGAATGTAGTTTTTACAGGTCACAACAGCTCGA